TTTATCGCTTTTCCTAAGCACTTATTTATTGAAGTACACTTACTCAAGATTGCAATTACTTTTGGCATACTTATTGATGATTATTATGGCTAGGCGACAGTTTTTTTTTGTTGCTTTCTGTGTTTAAGTACTGTCAAATTATAACACATTATAATGCCATTTGAGGTTGGTGGTGAAACTACCAAATGTGCAAAGATAATTTTCTTTAATTTTGGTTTGTGTTGCTCCCTTTTTGTGAGTGAGTGCCCCTAATTGTTCCACAGGCAACAGTATCTGCAAGATGCACGTATCTGTAAATGTATCTGTAGCTTCGGCTGCTGCTGCTGCTGCTGCTGTCGTATCTCCTGGTTATAAATATTGTATCTCTGGCCCAAGACGACTCTCAGAGATACACGTTGTAGCCGTGTTTGTCCGCTTGTAATTGCGTAAACAGACTCGTACATATTTTATTTTATATTTTATTGTTTCGCTCCGCTGCGCTGCGCCATAAGGGCAGATACCTATAATTTTCTTGTGTCTTTCCTACAATGAAAACACACCGAGGCAACAGCAGCAGCAGCAGCAGCAGCAGAAACTCAAACTCAAACTCAAACTCAAGCTGAAACTGAAACTGAAACTGAGGCAGAAACAGGCTATGGCAATAATAATCATTATTATCATCATCATTATCATCGTCATCGTTGTAGTCGTCATAAAGACAACAGTCGCGACTGCACTAACGATGGAAAACTCAGTATGTGTGTGTATAGCCCACAATAAATGCGGAATAAATAAATAAAGTGTAACAAAAGGCAGCCAAATAAATGGAAATATAACAAAACTTAACGCAAGAAAAACAAACGGAGGAACACAGCTGAAACATTAAGTGAAAACGGAAGGAATGGGGGCAGGAGTGCATAGGAAAGTTTCCAAGCTGCCTAGGGTCATAAAATATATAAATATATATCATATCTCTCTTTTTGAAACAAGAAATAATAATATATATCAAGTAACTATTTCAGTCAGGGGTAAAGTCATTCTCAGAGGGTACAAGGTTCTCTAATACATTTATAAACACTATCCAATAAACAATTACGATAACAAATCACATGGCAAATGTTTTCTCCCCTCTCCTTCATAAACAAACCAATCTGATACTAAACCTATACTATATACCAATTAGCCAAATATATTTCTATAATTACCCCTTGAGGCAAGTGCACGGACTTGGGCCATGATTCGATGGCCATTGAAAAACCCAGATATATACACACGGGGTCATAAAAATTCTATTGTCCCCCCGTATAACTTAATCGTTTTTCCCCTACCATTTTTTTTTTTTTTTTTTTTTTGCATTTTTTTCAATTTCTTTATTTAAACAATCACCGTCGGGGTGTAAATACAAAGATGATTTGACCAAAATCGGTCGAGTCACTGCGTCACAAGTCCCCACGAGTCATTTGGCTAACTTTATCAGTCTTTAATATAAGAACTACAAGAGCACTGATCACGTAGCGCCAATTTGCAGAGAATTAAAAATAAAATAAAGAAACGAAATAGGAATAGGAATAGGAAAAAAAAGAGCATGAGCCTCGTTGGGGAAATCTTATCAGGGAAATTACCAAAGCCAAGAGCTGGCATCGACGCGACTTAAGATTACAAAATTGTTATTATGATTATATTGTTGTATTATTTGCGCCACGATAAGATCTATGTGGGTTTATGGCCCGCTCGGGTCTGGCCATAAAATAAATTACTTATTTATTTCAAGTGTGGAACGGTCGACCCGGCTGCTTTTTTTGTTTTTGTTTTCCTTTTATATAACCTGGACAAGAAGAATTGCTGCAACGTTTATGGGCCCAAAATGCTACAAACTACAAAGTAAAGAAATTATCGAAATTGCCTCGTAAATTATAGAATTCACATATAATTCTGGCGTCCAAAAGTGCCGACCCGTCTTACGAAATCCTTTAATCTTTGAAATGGAAAATGCCCCTTTATGATAAGAGTTTCCCATTGGCTACCGACTCCCCAATCCCCTCTCCTGGGGTGGCCAACGATCGGTTGGGTTTATGTAAAACCAGCGGATATAAATTTGATTTATTTCCCGGCCACCGGTTCGAATCAATCAAAGACCTCTAATGAGCTACGGACCGCACAGGAAACAGTCGATGACATTTGGCTTAAGTTGGGCTCAAACAACATAAAGAAAACTATATAAATAAGGAAAGATTCACACGCTCAAGGAAAAAAACAACAGCGGAGAAGTAAAAAAGAAAACCTCCATTTCCGAGAGAGTTCAAGCAACCTGCTTTGCATAAAACCAACCAAAAAAGAACCCACCAAAAGAGATGGAGATACCCATGGAGCAATTATGACTAACGCCCGAGACAAAGAGATACCAGGGAGGGGGAAAATTTGGGGGGGAAAATCAAGGAAAGGGGAACCCAGACCCTTGGCTGTCAAAGAACTTTCAGCACTCGGCAATTTTCAGTAATATTCTGCTTGCAAAAACACAATTCGCAAACGCACAAAAGAAAAAGGCAAGGCAAATACAAGGAAAAGTCAAGGAACTCGCACAAAAATTTGCAGAGAAAATGAGGGGGGGAGATGATGGTAGGGAAATCCCTCTTGAATTTGAGTTTCTTGTGACTTTTCCTGACTGCTGGGTTTCCCCAACGCTGCGTGTGTGTCTCCGCATCTCTCTCTCTCTTTCTCTGGCATGCTCTCGTCTTCTATGAATGAAAATGCGATGAAAATGCCTCGGAGTGGGGTAACGGAGGGTTTGGAGAAAACTCGAAGAGAGAACACACTCTCAGAATTGACTGAGGAAAAGTTGGACTCTATTAAGTAACAGGCTTCCAGCTTCATCGTCCTGCTGCTTGGGTCAGGGACTTCCCCCTGGTGACGTCGTCAAATTTTTGGTGGTTTTTGTGGACTAAGGAAAAGTAAAAGAAAATGAGGGGGGGTATGTCTCACACTCTGCGCTTTTACTGCCGTCTATTTCTTCTTGATTTTATTTCTCATTTCATTTCAATAAATTAACAAAGGAACAGTAAATTGTGCGAGCAAGAAGCTGCAAATAATATGAGAAAATCAGCCAGAAGGGCAGCAACCATCCAAGGGTTTTTTGCTCTCTATCTCTAATTCATTTTCCACGCATAAATATGCAGGCAACTTGCCCTGGAAATGTATCTTAATATATATATTTACAACTTACAGAGGGAGAAAATGTTATATATTACAAAGATTTGATTAGAAAACTTAGAAAATATTACATTTCTCAGCTAAAGCTACTTGAAACGTTTGCTTTTTATAGTAAATACTATACTTCATTCATTTGTTATTACGAATTTCTTAGAAATAAATATGATTTAGATTGTTTATAGTCGCACAAATCATTTCCATGAATGATTATTTGCTTAGTGTACACTCATAGTTTCATATTCATGAGGCACCCATTGAATATATGGTCTTATTTACATAAATTCAGAGTTTTATATAAACAATTCGAGTGCAAAAGTAATGCCAACTCAAGAATAATGCTCAATGTCATACATTAAGTGTTTATAAACAAAAAAATAGAGAAAAAACATAGCAAAAGTGAGGGAAAATCAGAGTCGCATTAGTTGCAATTATGGAAAATCAGATGCACGAGACGAAACAAATCAAATATTTGTGCGACTTTTGTTTGCCTTGCCATCAATTTTTGCCAATTGTTTATAATTTTGTTGATCTTCTCTCTCCCTCTCTGTTGCTCTTTGTCTCTTCTGTGTGTGTGTGTGTGTGTGTGTGTGTGTGTGCGTGCATTGTGCAATTTTCGTCATTAGCATTAAATGTTGTTGAATTATTTTTCAAGTCGCTGACGCACTTAATGTCGCGACCTCCGCTCCGCTCTCCTCAATGCCCTCGTGTTGGTTTTTCTTATACAAATAGTAAATCAGCTTTAATTTGCAATCTAATAGAAATAACAACGAATAAGGTAAATGCGGCCTGCGGTAAATGCAAAAGATTTCGTTAATATGCATGCACCCTGCACCCTGCACCCTGCACCCTGCAACCGAGCAAACGCGCTTTTCCAGACGAACGATAAATAAATAAGTGAGCGAGGCACACGCGGCGTATGCGCATTATGCAAAGACGACAAAGAAAAGGAAGAAAAAGGGGGGTCATTGGGGTCAAGACAACGAACAGGGAAATGGAACTCGATTTGAAAACTCTCCATGCTTGGCTGACTTTTTTCTTTTCCACTCTAAAGCTCTGCGTTGTAATTCTATCAAGAATCTATCTATCATATAAAATAATCCCCTTCTCTCTCTCTCTGTAATATATATACATATATTAATTACTTTGTCTGTGCAATTATTTATTAATATTTATGATCGTGCTTCTGTTACTTTGTATCTGATTTGAATTTAATGATCTAATTTATTCTTTAGATCTGTGTCATATATATTTGCATGTAAGTGGGACTTAAAGCCGTAAATATTAGTCACATGGTCAACTTTGATGATTTCATGATTTTAGCAAATAAACTCTGCATTTATTACTCATTATTAAAAAAACAAAATCTAGGTCCTTATTCATTGTTAGTTATTTGGGTAAATTGCATCATAAAGATATTTAAATCTAAACAATTTGATTTGATATGTTAACATCTTTGGCCCTATTTCAAAAGATATTTTTGGGTTTTCTTTTCCGCTTCTGGGAAAAATCAATTTATTATAGAGACAGTTTGAACCAAATGTATGTAAAATTGTAAATTTATTAATTAACCCTAATCTATTTGGTGAATAATAATTATGATCATAAGATGTCTGTGTTTTGAGTAAGATTTAAGGAAATAAATTGGAATTAATAAAAGTCCTAGAAACAATGTTCAACAGAAGGGAATTCTATTACAGAATTTTATACTAATATACTATTTTGTTAATTAAAAAAGTATTTAATATTTGGAGGTTTATCTTAAATTCATATTAAACATTAAATTCATAGTAAACATATCAAAAAGGTTCACTCACCCTCTCTTCTTCGCGTATCATTTCGGCAATTTCTGGCTTAATTTCCATATCATCATGATGTGATCCCACTGACGAGGCAGAGGCACTGCCTCCTGCCCCAGCTCCTCCACTCGGTGCACTAGCTCCTGATCCTGCTCCCGAACCAGCTCCTGATCCTGATCCTGCTCCTGCAGCCGCTGCTGCCAAAGCACTGGCCATGGCATGCGAGTGAGCCAACTGATGTTGTGCCGCCAATTGCTGTGCGGCAGCAGCGGCGGCATGATGATGCATGGCAGGTGGAGGTGGTGGCACAACGGCGGCATGATGAGCGGCAGCTGCCACAGCGGCAACCATATGCGGTGGCAGAGCAGACTGAGCGGCCACTCCACCGGGTGGAGAGTGCATGGCAGCCGAAGTGTTGCCATTACTATGACCCGATGAAGGTGGCGGCGAAGAGCAGTTCCGCTGAGATCCTCCAGCGGAGGAGCCACCACCATTGCCACCCGACAGGGACTGAGGATTGGGCGAGGCGAAGGGATTGCGTACGATCGTTGATGTGGTCATGGCCAGCGGTTGGTTGCTCTGGTGATTCTGGCCGGGAGTTGAGGTGGAGCCCCGCTCCGAGACCTCCGACTCACCGCCCTGCAGCGAGGGACTGGGCGTGGCATAGCTACCATCCCGAGAGCGCTTTCTTTGCCTCTTATTCAGATCCAAAGCGACATCATGCAACAGGCGTGGTCTCTTGGCCTTGAGTTCATCATCGGGATCAAGATCTTCATGCTGCCGCAATATGGCAGTAGCTGCCGCTGCCAGTTCCTCGTCATCATCATCATCGTAGACGGACATGGGATGAGCAGATGCTCCACCATCTCCACGACCCGCACTAACCTCCGCCAGACCCCTGATTTTCAGGGTTTCAGCCACCTTGAGTAAAGGATTTATTTGATCCTGGCAGACATTGATCTCGCCCTTGTACATAAACTCCACCAGAGCCTTTAGATCTGACCAATTTACATCTCTCATAATGATAATGGGATGCTGGCAGGGATTATCATAGAACAAGGCCTGGAAATAGGGTGAGCAGGCGGAGAGAACCATCTTATGAGCCTTGATTGACTGACCCTCGCAGGATAAGGTGACATCCACAAAGGATTCACTCTGCAGCAGCTCATCAAAGACATTGGTCAGGTTGGATTGATAGTTGTTCCAGCGTAGACAGAACTGTTGGTTATCCCCAACTCCACTGGGAGGAGGTGGTTTCCTTCGCGGGGCCTTCAACTCGGGGCTACTCTTGATCTTGGCCTCCACAGGAGGCGATGATGATGTCTGACCAAACTCAAAGAGCGATGATCCCGATAGCTTGAGGCTCTGCTGCTGTTGAGGCTGTGGTGAGACGGGCAGAGAGCGGGATTTCTTGGCCTCCAGGCGAAGACGCAACTCTGGATCATCGGGATCACGGAGACCCACCACCTCGCTGGAGGTCAGTGGTCGTGGTGGCGGTGTCAGAGGTTGATCATTCTCCAGACTTGACTTTGGTTTCACCACGACTGTGTCTGTCACATCTGAATCCTTTTCCGTGGACTTGATCACACCCGTATCGGGTAGGTCCTTTTCTGTATGAGGATCTGCCTCTTTGGGGTCCTCAAAAGTGGTGGTTTCCACTTCCCTCTCTGGCGAGGATCTACGATCACTTTCCACCGAGTCCTCGATAAGAGGTTCTGTTGCCATTTTGGGCTCCTCAACGGTGGGCGTTGTGTAATCATTTGCCTCAAATTGATCTCCTTCATATTCCGACTTCATTTCGAAGTCCATTAACTGTTTGGTCATGTCCATGGTTCTGGGATATGGTTTCCGTTTCAATCTGATCAAGTGAAGGTATCTCTAGCGGATCCCTAACACATTTTTAATCATGCGAGAGAACTTTTCCGGGGAGCAGTTCAAGCGCTGGAAAAGAGAATAAATTTTCACATGATTCTCAAACACAATTAAAAATACAAAATTCATATACAAGGGGTAATTCAAAGGAAACTATAAACTGGCACATTTTCGCACATTTATCCCATCATCTATCAGTTTAAATTAAAAAATATTTCAATGAGAATTTGAATTCTTTTGTAATTAAAACCTAAATGTTTACCTGCATAAATTTATTATTTTTCTTCGGTTCTTAAAATTCTTATGTGTACTTGGGGAAAGGAAATCTTTCTCAATAAATTTATAGAAATGAGTTTGCTTTCTTGGCATGCTTAACCCCATTTGTAAATTAAAAAAGAAGGAAATGAGTAATTTAGCTAGAGAAAATAAACAAAGCTTCTCTAAGGAAAAAAGATTACTAATATATTGCGTATTATTTGCATCACTTAATTGAATATATTATTCGGTTGTATCTACTTAATATCTTTGCAAGTATTTCATGTTCACTCTTAGTCATAACTCTATTAAATAAGCCTATTAATCTTGCTCCTCCTCCTCCTCCTCCTCTGTGTTGCTCAGTCGAAAATTTCCATGAATTTCTATTAATTTATGTTTAGTATTTCCCTCCACAATCCACCGCACCACCGAACCCTGCCTTCTGGCACCACCCACCCATCCACCCATGGCCAGAAATGTGCTTTATTAGCTAAAAGCTAAGCACACATTTATTTATGTTTAATTTGGCTTAATTTATATTACTGAGCTGCAATTATTTGTAGGCTCTCCTCCACCCTCCATTGTACTTATACACATCTATGCGAATGAATATATATATCTTTATGTATATTTATATATAGATTGTATGTAGTAATTGTGTGCGCTATTATTGCTTATTTTGTATTGTTGTGTGTCTCTGCTGGATCTACTTGCATGCGCACATCGCCCATCTATAGATTTATATTTAATTAAATATTATTATTTATGGCAGCGCTGAGAGGGAGAGAGCCAAAAGTAATTATATTTATTTAAATATTTTGTATAATTTTAATTTATGAGTGTGCCTCGAGGGGAAGGGTGGGTGGGAGGAGGTTCGTTTGGTTGAGCTCTCGCACAAGGGGTGGAAAAGTTTCCGCAGCTGTCATAAAATTTAATTATATTTATTATTATTGTTATTATAATTCTTCTTCTTCTTTGCTACTTTTTATGTTTATTATTATTTCATTCCAATTAAATCTTGTGGCTGTAGCCACGGACTCGTCGTCGTCGTCGACTGTTATTATTATTATTTTTGTTTATTTTATTGTTGTTCCCGGAGAGAGAGCGTAAGAGAGAGAAAGAGGAGTCATCGTCGAGGGAGCCAAGCCTCAGTTTTCCCTCCTCCTCCCCCCTTTGAAGAACATTTTCTCGTGGCAGCTTTTCCTCCACTCTCCGCCCTTTTTTTTTTTGGCAACTTTTGGTTTATTGTTATGGCCGCGCTCTGCCTTTTGTTATTCCTTTTATTTATTCATGTTTGTTGCTGTTATCGTCGTTGTTGTTGCTGCCTCCATTCGCATTAAATTTGATGCTTCTTTGGAAAAAGTCAGTCTCAAATAAATAAATAACTAAATTGCCTAAAATGCACAAAAACAAATTCACAAAAAAACTGAAAATCAAATCGAATTCGGACTAAAACTGGAGTGTATTTTTTGTTGTTTTCGGAAATCATTTCATCGTTTTCTTGATCTCTCATAGTTTGCCAATTGCTTGGGCACTTCCTGTTTCCTCATCATTTTTTTTTACTTTTGATTAATTATTTATAACGAGCGCAGCTGTTAAACAACCAAAAAAAAAAAGCATACTAAAGGGAAATAAACAACAACGAAATGAGAGCCACTTTTGTGCACAGAACAAAAAGTATTTATATTCATAAATATATAGAGAATATTGTATTTATTCTTGTTTGAATTAATAATTATAAGTTAAACTTTTATTTATCGTTCATCAGTAGAAATTAAAATAGTTTTTTGGTCCTAGAAAATAACTACTTTTATATTAATATAAATAATTAATTAAAAGTTTACAGGCAACTGAAAGATATCTATCTCTCTGAGTTAAATTGTAGTTACTTTAGTTACAAATATCTAAACCTTATTATTTTTATAGTTTCTTTAATAAAAATATCGTTTTTGGTCATTTAAAATCACTAGATACTTGAGAAAATATTAGAAAATTGAATTCTTGATTTATGAAATAGAAATTAAATCACAATTAAATACTGTTCGAGTTTAGAATAGATTTTTATGGAATGAAGTAAATTTTAAATCAAACATATTACAAATTAAAGTTCTCAATCAAGTATTAAATAATAACTTTAGTTAAAGAATAATATTTTAAAAAATATATAACATTTCCAGTGCAATACTTTGACTTCAACCAGTTATTTTTCCCTGTGTTCCCTCTGTATTTATTTATTATTATTTTTGTATTTATTTATTTAATTTCGTCTCGAGGTTGTGGATCCTTCGTAGCTCGCACACACACACACACACAAAAGCACTCACACAGAGAGGGAGGGTGGAAGAGAGGGAGGATTGGGAGGAGGTTGGGGTGTTGCTGGGTGAATTTTCAGACAACGAGGCACATTTATATATTGTATATTGTATTTATTTATTAACGCTTATTTATTATTTATGCAGCAAGTAATAAATTACACAGGCGGCAGGGCTTCGTTGTTGTTTCTACTGCTGCTACTGCTGCTGTGCCAGAGTTTTCTGTGAGTTTTCTCTGGGTTTTCTCCTTTGCGGAAAATGTTTACAAACTGTTTTTGGCGCGTGCCACCCACACGGTGGGCCGCCACTTCGGAAGCAACTCGCAAAAGTTGCTCCTTGGCGTAAGTTTTCTTCTTAATTCCTGTGCGCCCAAAAGACGAGGCAGCAAGCTGCTGCTAGCAGCAGCAGCAACTGTGGCAGCAACATCGTGGCAGCAGCAGCAACACCATAGCTTTTTACGACCTTTCGGTGGGTGGGATTGTGTTATAAATTAATAAATTACAGTTTCTTTGGGTGGAACGCAAAATGCGCGGACTGGATAATTTATATATAGTATATATATATATATACATATACACGGGTATACTATTTCTATAAGGTTGGAAAATCGGAGGAAAATCGATTTTCGTGCAGCGCCAATTAAATGCAACCTGCTCAGGCATTTGTCGTAAATAATACCACTCTATATAATTATCTTTAATAATCACGTACACTTTTTGCTTTGGGTCTCCTTCGAACACACACACTCTCACACACTTAGCAGCTGCTTTCTTTTCGGTTTCTCCTGTTTCTCACTGTGTGTGTTTTTAATTTTTGTGTTAACTATGAATATTAATGCAACTTTTGGTGTTTATTTTTCTATTTTTTGTTCACTGCATGCAACACATGCTACTGTTGTTGTTGTTGTTGCCTCTCACTAGTCACTTGTTGTTGCTGCGCTTCAGTTCTGCTTGTTGTTGTTGCTCGAGGAGTGTTTTTTTTTGTTCTTTGTTTTTGCCGTGAAAACAAACGTGCACACACGACGAAAGTAAAATATCTACTGATTCACTAAGCACTGAAACTCACGGCACTCATGAATGAAACTCGAGACCGCTCTGTCTGCGTCTCAGTCGACGTCGACAGCGCTCGGCGAGTGGAGAGCGTTTTCGTGTTCGCTCGGAGGGGTAGGAAAACGGCGAGAGCGTCGGTGAGAGAAAGCGCCGGTCGGTTTTCCGGTTATTCGAGGCGAATTCGTTAAGAGTAAGCAAAAGTGGGTTCTCTTAAGAAGGGAGATCCAGAGTAACTATAAAACATTTGAGATATTTGGGTTTATTTTCTTTGAGTTTTTGAAAGAGCAAATCGAAATGAATATTATGAATTTGAATGATAAATAATTAAACAAATTATTTGTAATAAATTCATGAAAATAATAATAGAAAATCGTACGTTGCAGAATATATTTGAGTTTTCTTAATAAACTGATAAGATTTTAAATCGATCCGTTTGGGTTTGTTTTAAATATTTGTATCTTAAATACGAATGAATGCTGCGATCCCTTGATAGATCTTTTTTTTTCTAAAAAAAGAAAATAAAATATAATATAAAACTATTTTCGCTAACATAATTATTATTACAGGAAAAACTACTAAGATTAACCAACGATTAATTAAGAAAACTTAAATTACAGAAATTATAGTCTGAGGCCAATAAATTAGTTGTTAGTTTCCTCAGATCTTTATCTCTGAAAAGTTAAGTTAAATTTTTTATAAGATTCTTAATGTGTTTTCTTTTCCAACTTCTATTTTTATTCTGGCATAAGTAAATAACTTTTAGTTTTAAATCATTTTTGAAATATTTTAAAAATTAAAATTAAGTTTTAAAGAGAAAATAAAAACAGAAGCAACAGAAACATCGATTTGGATCGATTTTTATACCCTTCCAAGGGTATTATAATTTTAGTCATAAGCTTTTAACGTAGTGAAAGAGTCATTCCGACCCTATAAATCATATATATTCTTGATCAGCATCAACAGCTGAATCGATCTAGCTATCTTTGGCAGAAAAATTTTTTCGAAATTTTTTCTAAATTTTATAAGGGGTTACATCGTCAAAATTAAAAAAAGTTTTGATAAAAATTTAATTTTTCTTAAATTCTATACTGAGTATGCAAATTTGTTAGCCCAATTAAAACTAACAAAGAACAGCTCTCCGAATGAAAATAAATGCTTTTTTGGCAGAGTTATGAGATTTTAAAACTTTAAATTGTCAACAAAAATTGTCAAAGAAAAATAGAGATAAATATCGTTAAAAAAATATTTTAATATTAATAATAATATATTTTAAATATCTTAAGCTTAGTTATGATCGGTTTCAGATTCGATCCTATAATTTATTATCTTCGGCATCCCGAAG